TGTAAATTCGTGCTCAAAATAGAGCATTCTAGTCCGTCGATATCGGTACTAGATGAACAGTACCGACACTGTTCTTTGTGAAAGGCCAAAATCAATCACTTTTATAAGGGAGGTATCGATGCTCCCTATAGGGATATCGATACTCATATTGATCAATATTGAGGTATTTTTGAAAACATCGAAGCCAAATTTAGTATCGATACCCAGGGTAGAGTATCCATACTCCCCATATAAGCATTTTTCAAAACATTGAAGCAAATTTTGGTATTCATACTCAGGTGGGTATCGATACCTAAGGGGTGAGTATCGATACTGCTAGCCCAGTTTCGATACGCACGATTATTTTTAGCGATTTTGGTTCAATTATTAGTGATATAGGTAATCTCCCCGACACATACCCATTTCCATGCGTCTTCCCCTTCACGATGCACATGAAAGGCATACATTTACCGTTGTAGGTAATCTCCCTGACCCATACCATCCCATCTTCCTTGTGGCCCCTGTATGCATAGCAATAATGGCGTGTAATATTACCACGTGAATATGTAGGCATTGTATCAATAATACAACAACTATTGCAGCAATAATGGAGCAATAATGGTGGGAGTAAGGATGAAGTTGGGGGTTGTGGTTGGAGGCATTGCGGTTGGTTTTTAAATATAAATATGAGGTGTAAGGAAGGAGAGACGATTACACCGGGAGTTAAAAAAAGAAGAAGAGAAGAAATAAGAGAAAATAGAAAGAAAGAATAAGAAGAGAATATCGGTTCGTGCTATATTATTCGAAAAATTTAACCCGGTTAGTTAGTTAATTTTGTTTATAAAATCTATATTATTTATAAAATAATATGAATAATATAGATGATAAATTTAAATTTGTTATGTTTGTTAATTTCGTTTCAATTAGTTATATGTGTTTTATATGTTTATTGAATAATTATATGTAGTATGTGTTATTAAATTATTAATGTTATTAAATTTCGTTGTACAGATTCGTCTCGTTGAAATGGCAGAACAAAATCAACTACTTCATCTTGACGCTCAACATATTTCTAGCCATTTAGGAGCGATGGAGTTATTATTTTTTAATAAAATATTATAATTGTTTATTAAATATTATTAATGTTTATTTTATGATTAATTGATATAAATTCATGAATATTATAACTGTAGGAAGACGAACAGCGAATCCTCCGTCATCGGATTAGTATTCCCGCTAAGCCACACCCTTTGATTGAAGATATCCTGGAAGAGGCTAGATTTTATCATGTTACATTTGTATGTGAGTATAAGTTGGTCTCGGGTTTGATAAGTGCATTGATTGAACGTTGGAGGCCAGAAACACATACATTTCATTTGATGTGCTGAGAATGAATGATAACCCTAGAAGATGTGGCCTTACAACTCGGGGTTCCAACAAATGGGATGCTGGTGGTGATGAAAAATTATTATAATAACGTGGAAACACTTTGCAATAAGTTTCTTGGACAGACGACAATAAGCCCAGATGTAAAAGGATGGCGTTTGAGGCTGTCGTGGTTGGAGGATCAATTTCAACTCAAAAAAAATAGTACCGAAGAAGAAATTGTATATGCAACTCAAGCATATATCTTACAGTTGATTGGGGGAGTTTTGATGCCGGATAAATCCGGTGGTCTGATTAAAAATAAGTAACGAATATTTTTTTGATTTACAGATGGAGGCATAAAATAGAAAGGACGAGACTATTTCACAATAGTATCAAAGAGTTTCGGTTAAAGATCGACATTTATAGCGGATACAAAATGTGGGATATGCATGCGGAGGTATCCAACGACTTCCTGGTCGTTCAATTGCCGCCAAAATGCCTATTCCTCAATCAGATATCAAGCAAACCCCATCTTCTTGAATTACATATTTATGTAGATTGGTCAAAACGAAATCACATACTTCTCTTGTCTCTCCTTCAACAATGGCAAATGCAATTGGGAAGATATTTCGTTCACCATTTTGCGCAACTGCCATCAACAATACATGTTTATATTGATCATACAACCACGTACCGTCTGCTTGGACCATATGTTTGCAACATGGAAATCCTTCTATGCATGACTTGAATGTCCAAAAGAGTTTACGAAATATCTTCTTCCCTGGAACAAGTTGACTTTCTTCGTCATACGCAAGTATGGTTTGAGACTTCACTATGGTTCCCGGGATGAATCGCTTCATTGCTTGTAACAAATGTGGTAGCTCATTTTACAATATATCCCAATCTCCATATGTCAACTTCATTGCCTTCATTTTCGCATTCCAAACCTTGCCATATTTTACTTGGTATCAAAATTGGCTTCGAATAGATGCAGCTAACACTGAACAAGCGATTCTTGGATCCTTCTCAACCAATACCTTGACGTAATCACATATTACATCAGATTCCAATAATCGGTGGTCTTGATTGATTGAGTTCCGCAAACATGTATGAGGAATATTGTACCTTGTGATGACCCAAGCATTGTGCCTTTGAATTTTGGACACTCTGATCTTCCAATTGCACTCTGGGTCTTATTTAACACACTTCGCATATATAGTTTTTCAGCTGGACTCTGCAATATGAACATTAACATGGCTTTTGATGCAATACTCTTTAATCGACAGTGAAACTTCATATTTTCCTCTAAATTGCATCCCATCTGAAAATTCACCAGAAATTTTGAATGATTCAACCATATGGTATGGAAGGTATATGTGGCATTTCTGGGAATTCTTGTTCCCTCATCACATCATAATCGATCTCGTACATGTGAGGAGTTAGTTAATACGGTGTCAGAACTTCATTAGTTGGTCCCGGGTTAGGTGCACCACCACAGCCAAAATTATCATCGTCGGGTAAAACGGGTTCTTGAGTTTCTTCATCTTCACTGGAATCATCATGGATTTCTCCCCATCGATTTTCAACATCAGCATCAACATTCAATTCCGAGTTATATATGTTTCTCTCCTCGTACTCTGCTACTGCGAATATTCCACCGACTTCATTTCCACTTTTCAATAGCGCCATAAAATTGTTTATAGATCTATATGTCGGGTCCTAAAACTCACTTCCGAAAGCCATTTGAGATGAATTTCCAGTTACATTTCTTGATGACCTAGGAACTTCAGATATGTTACGCACATCAACAAATAACCCAATAACTGAAATATTTGTTGACTCATGTAATCCAATCATCGTTCCAATATCATCATCTTCTTCAACTAGTATTGCAGCATATCTAACTGGATTGGGACATACCATGAACCTGTACTTCAAACCATCAATTGCAACTCAAATTTTTCTTTCTATCCTCTGCTTCATTTCTACAAATGTGATGTCCCTTTTGAGCATCATATTTATAGGTCTTTCAGATTGGAAAACAACTCCGACCTCATTTTCCATAATATGTCCATTATAGTGGACAATCATGAAAAAAAATGTTGCTCATTTTCTCTACAACATCAAAATTTGTATTTATAATAGAATAAAATATAATATATATAAACAACAATATAAAAATAAACATAACAACAATCGTAACATTAACAAATATTTATAAAAATAATTATAAAATACCTGGAAGAGGATTTCTTCAAACTTAGTTCACCTTTGTTCTTCCAAAAAAACTAACAAACTATTAGACTAATTTCATATAAATTTATCGAATAATGTAGCACGAACCGATATCTCTTCTTCTTCTTTCTTTCTCTTTTCTCTTATTTCTTCATCTTTTCTCTTCTTTCTTCTCCTCTTCTTTTTTTTCATTCCCGGTGTAATCCTCTCTCCCTCCTTACACCTCATATTTATATTTAAAAACCAACCCCAATGCCTCCAACCACAACCCTCAACCGTCCGTCCATACTCCCACCATTATTGCAGTATTATTGCTACAATGCCTACATATTCACGTGGTAATATTACACGCCATTATTGTTATGCATGCAGGGGCCATAAAGAAGATGGGATGGTATGGGTAAGGGAGATTACCTACGTCGGTAAATGTGTGCCTTTCATGTGCATCGTGAGGTGGGATATTACCTATATCGGTAAATTTGTGCCTTTCATGAATCTTGCATGGCCCATGCAGTGAGGCGAAAAACGCATGGAAATCCATGCGTCTTCGAGGGGTATGTTTCTAGCGTTTTAAAACGGAAAAAAAAAATGACAGATTCAGACAAAAGAAAACAAAGCTAAAACCTTTGGATTGGGACATGGGGGAGCCTCAGCAACCAATGAGGGCATGTGAATGAGGAGTGTAGTTCTTTTCTTTATATGAAAATGTCCTAATAAGGCCATTGCAGTGAAAAGCAAGATTTTTGTTATAATTAAAAAGAAAACTCTTTAGCTTTAGGAAACTGAGCAGCAGCTTAAAGCTGAAACACAACATTACCTTGTTTGGGTTTTCTTCAAGGTTCTTTGTTTACAAGCCTCTTCTTTTCTTTTTCAAGGTAAGCCTCTTTCAGGCAACTCTGTTTTTTTTCCCCTTTTCAGGTTGAGTGTGATTTTCATGGCGTTGATGTGCTCTTCTTTCTCTGAAACTAAAGTTTGATCTTATGTTTGAATGATGTTTTTGAAGATGAATCAGTATTAGTCTGCTCCACAGCATAGTATAACGGCAGCATCAAACCATTTTTTAAGGTCACAACAACACTGTAACCGTATTCGTAATATAAAATTATAATTATTTAAGAAAACAAATTACGCCGTAATATTTACAGCACTCGTAACCGCAACACTGCAGTCGCAACTGTAATTTAATGCTATAATTACAACATTAAATGAATTCATTTGATGTTTCTTTCTTTTAAAACTATGTCATTTGGTTGTGGTTGGTGGTAGTGGGAATAGTTTCTCTTTCAAGGAACTGTATTGTTTGTTTGTTAGGTCTGCATAACATATCACCCCAACCTTCAATTAACTATTTGCTTCCTCTTCCTCTACATATACATACACACATGCATATATGATTTCTCTGAATTATTTGCAGGTTTTTCGAGGCTGAGGACATATATAAATCCTGCCCTTTCTCCGATTCGATTCGAGGAATACATTTAATCATGCAAACGCCGAAAGCAAGGTATAGTCATCGTCTTTCTGTGTTTTATAGCATTCTAATCTAGGGAAACTAAGTTTGATGAGTTAAGATTAATATTGCATTAGGCTTTTCAGTTATCAAAATCCATGCCAACAATGGATCTAAGGACGCTTTTTTTGTATGTTGTTGGTATTTGTATGTACATCATTTTGAACTCAAAATGGTCTCGGCACGATCAAATATACCGGACCTGAAGATATTTCACCGGCTGTTTTAATTGTGCTTCAAATGGAACATCCATCAGCTTCATTGATTTTCATGTTGTGACAGTAGAACAAGCTCCGTAGCAGTGCCTCAGAGAAAATCACCTTCAACACCTCGAACGGCTCAGCAATTGAAGATACCGGGATCGGATTCAGACTATGTTTCGTCTCCAAACCCTGCAGGTAAGATGCCTAAAGACCGAAGTCCTAAGGCTACCGAGCATAAAGTACTGAGAACTCCGGTATCTGAGGTATTCTTTAGTCACTTGTTGCAAATCATACAACATATTTTGTTTACATGTATGTCTGGTTATATGATTTCCACTCTTCTTGTATGAGCTCTAGAAGAGTCGATCGAGCCGAGTGACTGAACTCGAAGCACAGCTAGATCAACTCCGAGCTTTTTTGAAAAAGTCCGAGGATCAACTGACTGCATCCGAGTCATGGAAGAGGCTAGCCCTTAAGGAAGCCGAGGAGGCCAAGAAACAGCTATCGACAATGTCCGCCAAGCTCGAAGAATCCGAGCAACAGTTGCTGGAAATTTCTGCATCCGAGGATGACCACGTGCAAGAACTCCGTAAAATCTCGCAAGATCGAGATAGAGCGTGGCAGTCCGAACTCGAGGCTGTCCAGAAACAGCACTCAATGGATTCTGCTGCATTGGCTTCTGCTGTGAACAAAATTCAGAAACTTAAATTTCAGCTTGAAAAGGCATATGAATCCGAAGCCATTCAAACCAAGCATGCTGAGTCCGGACATACTGAGATTCGGAACTTGAGAATAGAACTAACTGAAACTCTCTCATTGGTCGAAAAACATAAGTCCGGGCTCACTGATTTTCGAGAATCCGAAGCCCGGGCTCTTGAACTCGTTAGCAAAACCCGATCGCAACTCGGAGCAGCAAATAAAACAATCGAAATGATGCGTTCTAATGCAACCAAAGAAACAGAAGCTTACAACACGTTACAATTGGAGTTGGAGCAATCAAAAGGCAGAGTTAAGTCAATAGAGGGACTAGTTAGCAAGCTCCAAGTAGAACTCGTTGGAAGTGTCAAGGATCGCGAAGTCGATAAACATCAATCGAATGAAGAAAACGAGGACATACATCAGCTCAAAAGCGAGCTTAATTTCGCCAAGCTCGAAATCAGTCAGTTGAGATCGGCATTGGATGCAGCTGATGTGAGGTACCAAGAAGAATATATAAAATGCACCTTGCAAATTAGAAGTGCTTATGAACAAGTAGAATGCATAAAAATGGAGTCTTCCAAAAGGGAGGCGGAGTTGAAGAGAATGAAAGCCGATATCGAAGAACTGAGATCGAACTTAGGGGAAGAAAATGAGGATCTGGATGTGAAGATTGAGAAAAACCAGTATGACAAAAGAGAATCAGAACATGCAGTGGAGTTGAAGAAGTTAGAGGCCGACTTGATTGAATTGAGAGATAACTTGGCGACCAAGGAAACCGAACTGAAGACGGTAACCGAGCAAAACAAAATGCTCGAAATGGAAATCGAGAAACGTAAAACGGAGAGTAACAAAGTTAGTGATGAATCTGGTGCATTGTTAGAAGCAGCAAGGGCTGCAGAGCGAGCGGCATTGATGAAACTTGGATACCTAACGGAAGAAGCCGATAAGAGTAACCGGAGAGCAGCTCGGGTGAACGAGGAGCTCGATGCAGCACAAGCAGCCAAAGCGGAAATGAAGGCGGAGTTGAGGAGACTGAAAGTGCAGGCAGACCAATGGAGAAAGGCTGCCGAGGCAGCTGCGGCCATGCTTACTAACAATGGGAAACAACCAGAGAAGAGCCTGTCTTTTGATATCAACTATAAGCCAAGAATCGGATGGGATGACATGGACGACAATGACGACGATTCATCAAAGAAGAAGAATGGAAAAATGTTGAAAAAGATTGGTGTGTTACGGAAGAAAGGGCAGAAATAATAACATCGTTGCAGGTCACATATAATTCTGATATAAATATTTTGATTATGGAAATCATGCGTTTAATTTTGCTCTTAAAATGTCTGTTGATTCCAGTTCAGTTTTAGAATTAATGGAAAGAGAATTTTGTTTGAACCCAATATTCTGGAATTGAGTCAAACACCCTGCTTAGGGTGCAAAATTCCATGCCGTCTACCAGTAGTCATAATAAGATAGTGTGTTTTATTATTTTCATGTTTTCTTTTCTTTTTCTTCCTAATAATACAGTAGGAATATGAATTAGTAAATTTTCTTGGTGTATGTTCTGCAATTATTTTTTTATTTGATGTACCAAAAATTTAGACCATAATTACTATTAGGGTACATTTGGTTCACGAAATGTAAGATTATCGGTGGGAATAGGATTACCGGAGAGAATAAAATTACTGAGAATGTTGTATTTTGTGTTTGGTTCTTTTAGCAGGAGTGTAAGATTACAGTGTTTGATTAAAAGAATAAAAGATTATTGGAATGTATATTTTACCAAATTGTCCTTATTATATATTTGTTTTTTAAACAAGTTGAATTCTACTATAATTTTACTATAATTAATTTATATATATATATATATATATTTTAAAAAATTTAAATTCATAAAATTTATATAATTTTTTTACAAAATTAAAAAGATAAATAGGTTTAATGAAATGGTAAATTTTATTTTAACACCTAAACTTTATATAAAAATCTAATTATGGACTTTTTTGTAAATCTAAAATAGTTTAAGGATAAATTTGTAATTTAACTTTCGTAGAATTTTTTTTATTCAACGACAGAAGAAAGATATTTTTGGAAAAAAAAATTAAAGGCATTTTAGTCCAAAACACCGGTAATCCAACAATACATAAGGGAATGAGGTAATCACATCCCCGGTAATATACTCCAAAATACAACTGTTGGGAATAAAGGATTATCGGAGGTTGGGAATGTTTGCCAACCAAATGGGGAATGTCATTCTATTCTCCCGATAATCCAATATTACCTGAACCAAACACCCCTTAGTGAAAAGTTTGGCTATTGTAGCAAACAGGCAGTGCTTCATCCATGGTTAGGAAAGTGTTTCTCAAGTACCATTTCTGTTATTGATTACATTATTATTTTAATCTTTACCATTTCAGTCTTCTGATCATATTCTCACATTATTATGGGTATCATTATCATTTGATTACATGTTATTTTAATCTTTTAATTTTATTAATCAATTTATTTAAATATTTAAATAATTTATTTAAATATTTAAATGATGTCAATTATTTTACTTATTGATAATATTTGACAGATGAGTTAACTTGTCTATTAACAAAATTAGTATAATTACATATTTAGTCTTCATTAATTATTTTTGTAGTATATTATAAGTTTAGGTCAGGGATGGATCCCTTAGTCTAGGGTCAAAGCATATCTAAGACTCAATTAGGATTTATATAGAAATTTGCAAATTGTCCACCAAGAGTGACGATGGTAGGATTCGAACTTGACCTTACAAGCTCAAAGTCTTCATTAATTATAGATTCTATCAACTTGATATTAATTTTGATTTAATTCAATAAAATGTTTAGAAATTATGATTAAATTAATAGAATATTCAAGCATTAGCAACCAAATGCATAATTGTACTAATTTTATTAACTATCACGTGAACTCTCCGTTAAATGTTAACATCGAGTGGTTTAATTGACATCACTTAATAATTAACTGGTTTGATTGACAAAATTAAAAGATTAATTATTGAATTAAAACTCTTCAATATTTTTTCCTTTCAATATTAAGTGATAACGAGTGTAGTTTAATCTTGGGTAAACTACGTATTTAGTCATTTATCTATTTATGTGGTTCTGTTTTGGTCATATAACTATTTTTCTCAAAATCATGGCTAACGTTACATTTTTACTTCATTTTGATCATTCATTGTTAATAAATAAATAGAACTACTGGCATGTGTAAAAAATAAATAAAACTGATGACTTGTTATCATAAAGTAATGTCGTAACATAATTGAAAAATAAAAAAGTATTCCTTTTAATGAAAAAAAAAACACTAAGCTAATATGGGGTATGTTTCATTTTTCACTATTCCAACTTGATTAATATTATGATCAAATTGAAAGAAAAAAAACACTCATCTAATATGGGGTATGTTTCATTTTTACTATTTCAACTTGTTAATATTATGATCAAATTGGAAGAATGTTTAAATAATGAGGAGTAAATGTATAATTATATTAATTTTATTAATTTTCTCATGAATGTTTATGTCAAATGTTAGTGACGGGTAACTTGATTATGGGTAAAATAGGGGTGTCCAATCGGTTAAAACGGTGGTCGACTGAATTGAATTACCATTAACCGAATTAACCAAATTTTTTTTAACCGTTAACCAAACTTTTTTTCTTGAAAATATTAACCAAATTGAATAAAGTTCGATTATTTCGGTCGGTTAACTGGATTAATCAAAAATTTTTATATTTCTTAATTAAATTAATTTTAATATGATAGAAGTATTTTTTTTTAATTTAGGTTAAAATTTAATTAGGTATTAATAATTTAATGAGTCTAGTGTGGTTAAAAAATAATTGGGAAACCGAATTAACCGTTAATTGAATATTAAAAAAAATTAATTGTTCCCCGAATGAAGTAATTCAGTGGAAAACTGAATTAATCGAACTAATTTTGTTCAGTTGGTTAATTCGGTTAAAACCGAAAAATTAACACCCTTGGGTAAACTACAAGATTGGTCACTTATGTTTTGTAAACTTTTTCTCAATAAATTCAAAAAACATAATATTTCTTCACTTTCATTTTTATTTAATTACTTCTTGTTTTCACTTGCTATCTTTCATAATCCTCATTCCGGTGGAAAACAAACACACTCAGCTAACATGGGGTATGTTTCCTTTTTTCATTATTTCAACTTGATTAATATTATGATCAAATTGATAGAATATATAAATAATGATGAGTAAATGTATAATTATATTAATTTTGTCAATTTTCTTTTAAATTTTTCTGTCAAGTGTTAATGACAAGTAACTTAATTAAGGGTAAACTATAAGATTAATCAATTTCATTTAAGTTTTGTAAATTTTTCCTCAATAAATCCAAAAAAATATAATATTTGTTCATTTTTATTTTTATTTAGTTAAGATGTAGTCACTAGATCATTGACTTTTATTAGTTTAATAATATGACATGTAAGTAAAAAGCTTTAATTTTTTACTTTAACCTTTAAACTTGAGATAAAATATTAATTTTGGACCTTTTACAAATTTAAAGTAGTTTAGGAATAAAGTTTTAATTCACCGTTTTTTAATATACTTTTCTTCTCACCTATCTGTTTTATCGAGGAAAACAACACAGATAATGCCGCTACTGCTTTGATGTCTGGTCTTGCTCCCAAAACAAAGGAATATTTATTTGCTTGTCCATTGTTAGTCTAAAGCTCCTTTCCTACGTTCCATCAACGACATGGTTCAATTTGTAGGTATTGAGAAATGGCAAATGGGGTGAACGGTAAACTGTAATTTTGGTGTTTTTCATCGGAGGAACAACAATTACCATGCTTATTGTCTTGTCGTTAAATGGCTATCGAGTCTCACCACTTGTCACAACAAGAAAACACTACCACTCAAAAGTTGTCGGCCGGCCCATCACCATCTCTGAATCTCTACCCATCGATCAAAGGCCAAACGATCACCACTCCAAACGGCTAAAGGTTAAAGGGAATTTAAACCAAACGTCCAAAGGTCATATGATTTTTAAGCCCTACAAGATTAAGGCCGACGGTCGTCGTGTTCTATGTTGCAGTTGGAGCCTCTGCTTATGTTCAAACGACTTTGGTCAATAATGTATACCCTCGCTTTACTAGATTTCATTCAAATTGTTTCATTCGATTTCAGTTTCATATTATAGTCTGTAATTCAAAATCGTTTAATCATATTTTGATTTAGTGGAAAATTCAGGTGGCTAGCTAACAAAATGGAAATGTATTGGATGTTTTGTGCAACGAAGAAGATGACATCAATAAGGCCATCTCCTGTCCTCATATCTACTCTATAGCATCTTTATCTCTACTCTAAAGATGAAACAGTAATTCATCTTCAGTACTATCTCTACATTACCATCAACTCTACTTTATTCAAAATATTTAACTATTATAATATTGATTTTGCAAATATAAAATAAAACATAATTTAATGTGTTTGGAATGAACTTTGATGATCTTGGAGGGAGTGGAGGGGTCTGTCTGATTATTAGTTAAATTGTTGTGTTTGAGTTGTTGGTTAAAATATTGTTTGTGTTTTATTAGTATTTTCTATGTTTTTATGTTTAAAAAATTTAGAATGTTTATTTATCTAATTTCAATGTATTTTTATCTATCTTGTAAATTAATCTACTTTAATTTAAAAAATCAGAAAAATTACAAAAAATTAGTATGTTTATATATATAATTTCAATGTATTTTTATATATCTTGTAATTTAATCTAATTGAATTTTTAAAAAAAATCAAAAAAAAGGAAATTGTAGCGCATGCTACAGTACGGTGCCAGATGTGACGCGGACTGTAGCAATTCTCCAAAGTGGAGATGATTTTGGCGATGGGTTAGAGGCTTTTTTTTTCCTCTACAATGGAGATATTCTCCAATTGTGGTGCATCATTGGAGATGCCTAATGGGTGTGCGGCGGCACAAGTAGGGAAGCTAGGGGAAGAAGAAAATTATATTAAAAATGGTAAATTAGAACTTTGTCCCTAAATCACTTTAAATTTAAAAAAAAGGTCTCTAATTAATATTTTATTCAAAGTTTAAGGGTTAAAGTAAAAATTAAACTCTTTTATAAACGTCTCTCATCATCAAACTAACATAAGTCAATGTTTTAATGATCACACTTTAATTAAAAACTAAAATACCAAAATTTTATATTTTTTTAAATTCTATAAGGAAAAATTTATAAAACTTACACGA